CTTAAAATAGTTAAGTTGTGTCTTTGGAATTTCGGTCATAATCTAGGGGGTACTTGTGCATTTTTCCAAAGTTAAATAATAAGAAAAATAAAATATATATTTTATAGCAAAATATTTATAAAAATAAAATTATATTTATTTTTTTGGAAAAGGCTCAAATATGCCGTCACACTTTCAGAAAAGACTTAAAAGCCGACTAAAAGGCTATTCCATAACCGACTCTTGTTGCCGAGTCGAGGGGGCGTTCAGCCACTGTCATTCGTTAAAAGTTTGGCCCATCTATGGCATTACTGTTTAAGAAAATGATCATTTATGCCATTTAGCATTGGTTTTGCAAAAAAACATTTTTGACATGTGGTCAATTATATTTCAGCCACGTCATTAATTTTTGTAATGAATAAATATCAAAATGCAACAAATATTGAATTAAAATAACCCACTCAAGTAGAGACCCAACCAAATTTTAAAATATTCCTAATTATATTTGGGTGGATTATTATAATTCAATTTTTGTTCTGAATTTTGATTTTTTGATTAAGATTCTTGATGACGAGAACGAATTATAATCGGTCACGTGTCAAAATAGTTTTTGCAAAATCACTGTTAAAAAATAATGAAATAAATGAGCCTTTATTAAATGGTAATGACATAGATGAGCCAAACTTTTAACGGATGACAAAAATGAGCATTTTCTAAAAGTTTGATGGCATATGTGAGCTTTTTTCCTTGTTTTTTGAATTTGTTCACATTCTTTAAGAGAGTGCATACACTCTCCATGATAGGTGAACAAAAAATAATGTAATAATATCAGTTAAGGATTGTTTAGGGGGTAATAGGTTGCTTGCATAGTTTAAGTGTCTTTTTGAAAATTCAGGACACCTTAAGGTGTAACTTTATGTCTTTTCTCAAGGTTAAATTAACTTTGAACCTACATAAAACTGCATAGACCGGTAACTACACTTCAATCCATCCTGTATGATATTTAATCTGCATTGTTCCACATAGCCTTAAACCTACCTGACCTCATTGCCATTCCTAAGTTGTTTACTAAAGGGAGAAGAATTTTGTAATTTTTTTTTAAAAAAAGAAGTTGATTTTTTTGTTTGACTAATAGGGATTGTTCGGTAATTTAGCATGATTTATTTTTTATATAAAAAATTTTTCTAATTAGTCCGGATCTTCGTGATACTCTCTTTCTTCTTTATGCTCGAGGCTTTCTAAGGAGTTTTCTAAGGTATTTGTTTACCATTTCAGTGGACTATTGAACTCATATTTATGATCTCGTCCTACTTTAGAGATAACATAATTTGAGACTTGTTTATTTCTTTCAAATCTATTGAAATACATTAGAGGCTTGTACACGTGACAATCAAATTTTGAGGTTTAGTTAAGTTGACTTTTTTTTCCGCTTTAGTATAGTATTAAACTTTCATCCTTATTTTACTATTGCATATTATTGTTATATTTGTGTTTAGGTTGATTGATTTTGGTAGTTGTGATAAAATGGTATCAAAGTAATTATCAAGAGGAAAAAATAGCATTTTTATAAAAATTACAAAAATGACCTTTCCGGTTATTACAGAAGTTCAATAATTAAAATAAAAATAAAATCTAACCTAGTTTTCAATAAAAAGATATTTAATTAAATCAATGTCTAGTGGATGAATAAAACAAACAAGAGAATGGACATTGGACACTTATTGAACCATTACAAACAAGTATTAAAGAGACTGAGCTGGTCTAAGGCCTAAATTAAGAAATGACCTGAAAGGATGTGGGTTTAGATTCAATCTCATCAAACACTTGATATTGTTATTTATTAACATTAGTTTTATAGAGAAGTTATTTGTCTTTTAGTCTCTTTTATTGGAAGTTTATGCAAAGTATGAATAATAAGAAATTGATCAAGCGGTGACAGTTATATTGTCTCATATACTTAGTTAATTTCTCAGCCCATACCAATCATTTATACTCTGATAATGTACTTCATATATAGTTTTTTTATTTGTGCTTTATGAGTATTTTTTTTATATTTTTTATTACATTCATTTGTATTATTTCTATAAATTGGAATTGTCACCAATGAATCATGAATGTAAATAATACAAAATCAATACTTGATCTGATTTTTGGTCTAATTGTTGATATAAAGTGTCATATGATATATCATATAAGGTGAAAGATGGAGTATAATGTAGTGTTGTGATTATGAGTATTAAAGTTTATAATAATTTCTATGCTTTCCCCCATTTTGATAGAAAATAATTTTTTCCTTAAAATTTTAGAATGTCTTTTGTTATTGAATTTTTTTTTTCTATAAAATGTTTTAGCTTATCAAACACATAAATGAAAAGTATTTCTAATTAGATCCTATTTTTTATACCTTTTAGATAAAGTGTCTTTCCATTTAAAAGTAGTGTCTGCTTTTATTTTTAAATTTGTTTCTGGGTACGCGCGTCACACGTGTAGCCAAGTATACCTTTTATTTGACAATCGTGCTTCACATAAGTCCTTAGACATCTTATTATAATGTTTGACTTGGAAATGTTAAGTATTTATAAGATTTGTGTTGCAGTAAAAAACATAAATGATGGTGGATATAGGAAGATTTTTTTACCAATTAGTGTTACACATATGATCGTTAGAGTAAGAATGTTTGTTAGAAAATTAAAGTAGTTATCTAATTTTATATGGATCATTGATAATAAACTTCATACTTTTAGATTTATTTATTATTAATTAAAGAGGTATTATAATAATTTGTGAAATAATGAACTAATTTTAACCGCATGTGTAGTTATTCAACATATCTGTCAAATATTTCATATCATCCATGTAAAACACTAACGATCTGGCATATAATAAAATATCTAATCTTTTATTGTGATACTTTTTAATTTCATTTAGAAACAATAAATATAATATTGTACTTATTTCACGCCAATAATTATATAAAGTCTAAATAAATAGTATTTATTTAATTATAATCTATACACATTTTTCTTTATATAAGCAGAGAACATATTTAACTAAAAAGGAATTAGTAAATAATACATTATAAACGAACATCTGAAACTAATCTAAAAATCACTTATAAATGGTCATCACTATAAGTACGTTACATAAAATAGTACAAATAATTCATTATATTGTTATAATTCATACAACATGATAAAAAAATATTATTTTCTTCCAAACATTCTTTACGATTAATCAATCAATCAACTAATTATAATGTATTTGATCCAAATACAACAACAATTTTATTGTCCTTAACAGTTATACAAAGATCAATGACAACTTTTATTTTGCGGTCTATGACTATGACCAAAAAGAAAATCAAAAAAGAAGAAAGAAATGATACACCAAAGATGAGGTCCACCAGTTTCGTACATAATTATTTAACATTTGGTCTTCACCTTTAATCCATTAAACAATATAATTAGGAGGAGAAAATGGCCAAACAACCCTCTTAATTTATACCAGTATTTTCAACTACACACTTTAAATTTACGGGAGTCCTATCACCCCTTGAAGTGTTTAAAATTGAAATCAATACCTCCCTAATGCTTAGTTGGCAAAGAGAGTGCATTTCATTTTCTTTGAGAGAGTGAGCACAAAAAACAAATATTAAAACTTTATTTTTAATATTTCTTTTTTTAAAAAATATGTATTTTTTTTCTTATTTATTGTCTTTCTTCTCCATAACAATCAAATTCCTTCACCGAATTCACCATTGTTGATTTCACACAAACTTTTAATCTCATATAAATTTTTTTAAAGAACCAACCCATTCAATAGAGGATAAAATGAGGTGTATTTATATCATCCAAAAAAGAGATCTAGATAATATTTGAAAAAAGAAACTAAATTGGGTTTATATCAAATTCAAGTGATCTCCCAAATGAAAATACTTTTTTATGAGAAAATTATGTAGATAAACAAATTTATACTATTTAATTACTCATGATAGCTATAGTTTGCTATAATTATCACTCGCGACTAATAGTATACATTAATTACGTGGGCTGACTTCGAGTTTGTATAATTAGTCATGTTTGTATATGTATAATTCGTCAGGATATACAAATAAATATGTACAATATACAATTTTTTAGCCTATATACATACACAATTCACCTCTCTCCCACTCTCTGCCCTCTGTCGCTAGCCTTTCTCGATCTCGCTCGCTTTTCTCCTCCCTCTCCAAATCTTGCTTGCCATTTATACAAATGTATATATTAAGTTATATACAATTATATACATATACAATTCACCTCTCTACCACTCTCTGTCCTCTCTCACTCACCTCTATCAATCTCGTTTGCCTCTCTCCTCTCTCTCCCAGTCTTGCTCATATGTATCCCCCCTCTCCCAATCTCTCTTGCCATATATACAATTACATATGTATAATATACAATTATCTAATAAATATACATATAACATTTTTTTCACTTTTAGTAATATATGACATATGATATGATGATATAGTACATAGTTATATTAGTAAGATGTGAATGTGTAGTTTTGTGGATATATGGAGCTTTTGTGTGTGTGTATATATATATATATATATACATACAACTATTTCTTAATTGGGCTCACACTGCCTTATTGTGGATTGATTGAAAATTTGAACAAATTCCTTTTAAGAAAAACATGTTTTGGTTATTTTTGATTGACAAAAAAAAAAAAAAAAAAAAAATCACATAAATTGAGTAATATTTGGACAAAATTTCTCCTTGATGAATTCCTCTCACATTTAATTAAGGAATCATTCCTCCATCATCTTTGATTCCATCTTCAGCAGTAAATTTACTCCAACAACTTCACACACCAATAGTGATGTAACATATTATGAGTCGAACTCAATAGAATTTGATCAATTCTATTTCCTAACGTTAAGGTGGGAAATGAACCAAAGATTCTGTTGCAACAACTGGTGCATTATGTGCCAAGACAAAAAAATTCATGAGCAATCACAACAGTAAACATAGATGTGAAACAAGTTGATACTGATTGTTAAACCTTAAAAGAAGCATATATAGGCTTATTCACTGGAGGTGAGATAATGGATTCAAAACATTTACATTCCAGTACAGAAAAGTTACACAATTTCACTAATAAAATTTACATATTCCTTTATAACAGTTTGAAGACTCGTTATCAAAAGTGAAGCCAACCAAAATCAATTAGTATATCGCGCTTCTTGTCTGGCACAGCAGTTTCAAATTTATGTATCCAAATACAGCACAATTGTCGTCGCCTGTGCTATTCATTTTTGATCTTCAGGTTTTATGGAGTAAGCCTTAGAACCACCAACATATGTTGCCTCAACATCTACATTAACTCCAGTTGCAAAGTCTTCCCATGAATTAGTTGACAAAACCACAAAATCCGCATATTTTCCCGGAGACAATGAACCAACATATTTATCAAGAAAACATGCATGAGCAGCTGAAATGGTGTACCTGCCAGAGAAAAATAAGCTAGGATTAGGTAAAAATAACAACATCCGTAATGTAAACCCACAAGTAGGATCTGGAGAGAATAAAGTGTACATCAACGTTACCCCTACCTTGGAAGGTAGAGAAGATAGGTAATAGAATTTCAAGAGGCAAGTTTTTGAAAAAATACAACTCAAGGACATAATGAACCTCATGATGGATCCAAGTTCTTTCTGTTACACAGACTTAGTTCACCAGATCAAGGTTTGAAAAAAAAGAAGAAAATATTGGAAAACATGGTTAATTCTGGTGGGAAAAGAGTAAATAAATTGCATCTATTCTATTTCTTTTTTTGGTTAACTATTCTTGTTTGGCACAGCTTGCATGCAACTCAACTATTTCATTGGGTACTAGCTAGCTAACTCCCACTAGCAAAGGTGCAGCGTAACTCTGGCCACTAAGGTTTATGATGATAGGAAGAAATTATCTAGTGCTCTTTTTATCTCAATTGGATTTGAATTTTGGTAGTATTTTAGGTTTGAACCCACTTCATTAACGATTAAGACACACCTTGGGTTACGAAATATGAATTGCCCTTAAATTTTGAAAGTAACAATTTAACACATACTCGGTTCAGCACGTGTCATTGGCTCAACTGACTACCTTATCCTCTATGAAGATTTATATCTTATCACTGTGTACCTTTTATTAAATGAAACCTTAGCTGTAACTAATTGTTAATACTAGTCATTGCAAACGTCAAATAAATTTCAATGGACCAGAGAGCTGAAATATAGTAGCAGATTAGTTAGTTCACTACGATATTGATTTTCTCCCTGTTGATCAGTTAAAGTGGCTTCTCACTAGTCCTGCTCAAATGAGTTCCAGGCTCGGAGAAAAAAAACTATAGATTTGCTACATAAAGTATTATCTTAATGAGCAGATAAGAGTTGGAACAGAATAACACCACTACTTACGCTTTTAGCGCATCTTCGAGACACAAGCACTCTGATGGAATCCAAGCCTTTTCCCAACCAGGAGGCATTCTCTTCATCGATGTCCTTATGCTTTTCAATGGATTAATATCTGCTACCTGAAAGGGGACAGCAACAAAACACACGACATAACAGTAATTGACAAGAAATAAAGTACTGAAAGAAACATAAACAGATGAAATCCAGAAATTACATACTGGCCAATCTGATCCGAATGCCAATTGTGCATTATTTGTCAGGAGTGACTTGAACAGATAAGATCCTCTTTCTGCCCTTTCAGAACCAATTTTTTTAGTTGCGGAATCAGCATCATCTAATAAGTGATCTGGCTGTTCATTTGGATTTTGTTATAATATATTATTCGACACATCGTGAAAACTAAGACATTGATACCAATTGCTCAATGCTGAGAAAAATGGATAGCGATAAAGTTTGTTAGTCCTGGGTTCTTGCATATAACATTTATCAATGGTGTGACTTAAAAGCACTGATGCCCCAATCCTTGTTATTTATTATATGTATGAACAGAATTAATCTCAACAGAAAATAATGCGAAAGAACAACCATGTGAAAAACAACCTGCACTGAAGCAATTACAGATTGTTCACCAAAACGAGCCACTGTTCCTGGAGCCAAATGTTGAGCATGCTCAATCTGTGAAGTAGTAAGTTGCAATAGAGATTACTTGAAATTCTACTCCTCGAAGAAACAACAGACCTCAAAAGTAGAGTTTTAATTGATTGATGAATCTCCACTTTTTAGAGCAGTAGGATATACCCTATATCGTCGGTCTCTAAATTGTTTCTCAGACGGCAAAGAAGCATACATATCCAATATCAAGTCATTAGCTTTGTCACCTATAGCATGGATGCTGACCTGAAATGTAAATATCAGCCCTAAGAACAGTCAATTTTTGCAACTTCAAAAGAGTTGAAATGGCAGACAAAGATAAAATGAGCTCAAGACCTGAAGGCCAAACTTATCTGAAGAAAGAGTCATGTTGTATAGACCATCCTGATCCACCACTTGTAACCCATAATTGTTTGGATCATCAGCATATGGCTACAAGACAAATGAAAGATATCAGAACACTAAATACAACGAAGTCTGATTGCATCAGAATGGGCCCTGTTACTTTGAAACGCTCATGCAGAATAAAAATGGAACAGATATTAAGAAAATTACTCGTCAAACAAGCAGGCCACCTATGTCCAACAAGGCATCGAGAAGACAGAACTCACAAAAAGAATTGAGAGAATATTTTGGTTCAGAGAGGCTCTACAAAACCAGAAAGCATTACCTCATGAAATAATGCACTATTAGATCCTAAAGATCCATCAGCAAAAGCCTTGACACCGCCCAAATAAATCCATTGGCTCAGCACGCGGCCTGACTTGCTCATAAGATCCTGAATACCAGTACAAGATTTAAAAGATCAAGCTTAGTAAGAATGCATTTAAGGAGAAATGCAACATAATCCACTAACTTTAGTATCAGCTAGAATAAGAATGACCATAGAATCTTACATAAGGTCCAACACTATTCCTGTGCTTGCTTTTGGGATTTAGTTAGGACCAAGATCCATTCTTAACAGTATGATGAAGAAATTTCTAGCAGTGGAAGAACAAGTGGAGGGGAGGGGAAATTGGGTAAGGGCACTAGGTGACATGCCATGTGGTGTCTACCTTATAAAATGTCCCTGCCACATAGGATCGGTTCCACCTTGGAAAGCCCTAACAAAGGAGGGATATATTTGAATCATTTAAGTAAAGGTGGGGGTATTTTTGGACCAATAATATAATGGAGGGTAAATTAATCCTTTTTGCATAGTAGAGGGGAAAATTTGATCCTTTTCACTTTTACATATTCTGAAGGGTAGCGTATGAGTAATGTTGACTGGTTTGTTAAAAAAACAGATTTTCATATGAAGGAAAAACTCTAAAAGTAAAGCTTTGTTAATCATGCCATACCACTAACCGCGACCATGTCTCCATTGGAAAGAATAAGCAAACTCTGGTCATCATATTTCCCGATAAATCTGCCCATTTATATACATCTGCAATTATAAGGGAAGTGTTACTAAGCTAATGATTACATAAATGTTCCACCCGTAGCTAGAAGAATAACTAAATGAGCATGACAGATAGAGAGGCAGTTTGAGGCAGATCTTCAGTGTTAAGCATTCGACCACCCAGCCCCAAATCATTTCTTTGGGGCCTCTCATTGTCATCCCGCTGCCCCTTTCAGACTCCCCTTCCCCTCCAAGAAGTAGATGCAGTTTCTAATTATTTTTTGAGGAATTCTAACTTCCAAGTTCCACCAAAAGAGTGAGAAAGCAAGAAAACCAGGGTGGGAGGGGTGGGGGGTGTTATATTGGAATAATATCATTGCAGTTTTACCTTAGACCTTAATTAATCTGCATATTAGCAGAAATGTTCTATTCCTTTATTTCTTCTCTGTAAATGTGATTAAATTTCCAATAACTGGTTTAATTCCCGCACTTCTTTCATCATCTTAATAACATCTTGCCAAACTCATGGCACACACTGTTATATTTTACTGGAAAAATTTCCTTTGATCAGGTTTTAAGGATGAGGCCTACAGATGCTTAACATCAACTTAGTCCCCCATTACCTCGATCCTGCTGTATTATGGAGCAATCTCTCAAAAACCTGGTCCATTGCGATACCGCGGGCAGTGAAAGTGAATTAAGAGAAACTTGAGTTGTTGAACTTTTTTTTTTACATGTTCAATAGACAAACTTCTATGTCCTAGTTGAAAAGCTAGGAAGCAGATCCAACTTGCTTATTTCATCTCTGATGATCGAGTAATTAATCTTTGAAATGTTTAAAGTTCCGTATTATAAGTATAAAGAGGCATTGACCTTTCTAGTAAAAATAACCATACCATAGTATTCCTAAAAAGGAGAGTAAATTGATTTTTTTTGTAGGAACTGAAACCTGAAAAGTCTTCCCATGACTGCTCAGGAGAAGCCCCTGGAAAATATCTGCCAAAATCCACAACTGTTGTCACACCCCTCTTTAATGCATGATTGCTAGCTCTTTTAAGAGCTTCCCTCCTTTCATCAACAGTGGCTTCTGGAATGTGGTGAAGGACAAGCTTCATAGCAGAATCAATCAACAGACCAGTAGGTTCTGCAGTAAAGGACCCGAAGAAAGTAAGGATCTTCTATAAACTTATTTGAACATGTAAAATTTTAGCAAACATCATTGAAATTTGCGCAGTTGATCTGGATACTTTATTTTTATTTACAAGGCTGTCAATCTCTGAATTTTAGGAGAAACCTGCAACACTAGAGATGGAAGAGCTCAACAGGTTGCTTGGATTACTATAATATGAGAAATGGGACAACAGAGGAATGAATCATCGCATTTAAGTCTTTCTATGTCATAATTCTAAAAGGAGAGACAGGGAATCTCCTCACTCTTCAATAAGGGTTCTTACGACACCGAGATAAGTATCTTAATTCACTTTAACAGAGCCAAGGGAGCCACCATAACAGTACAGAATTTGAGAAGGATAATCTACACCAGATGGTGCTTTATGTCAAGAAAGTAAGAGAGGATGTCAATCATTAATTGATTCGGTGCTCCATTGCATACTGGCCATACTATATCTTGTGGAAAATGTTTGAAGTTCAGTTGCTGCAGCCAAAACTATGAGAAGAAGAGCATGGAGAGTAGCTCTTTTGTACTCATGTGGACCAATAGGACAAAGATAGGAGAGAAAAACAAGAGCTCTTGAAGGAGTTGAAAATATCTTTTGTACACATTAGTTGAATGTTTTTTCTTCTGTGAAGTGCAAATATGACATTCCAATTATTGTCGATGATTGAATGCTCTTTATAGAAATTCATGTTTTGGGGAGGGATACTTTACTTCTGTAAATATCTTAAACTGCGTCGCCATCAGTTCAATAAACTACTATATTTATTAAAAATGATTCCAAACTCAAAAATCCTTTCAAACTATTTGACATGGTTAACCAAAATAAAATAAAAAAGAATCATTCAGTGATTTAGCAACATAGAAAACATAGGAAGGCAACACCTACAAATTCCAGTTGCAAGTAATGGTCCAAATTCAGTAGGAAATTTTAATTTATTTTAAAGAATCAAGTCATCAACAGTAAGTTCTCCTAAATAAAAGCATTTATTTATAGAAATGGACTTAATTTAGGTATAATTCAAAAACTAAATGTGACCCTTATTGATTAACGCTAATAGGTGGAACCTTTAGGTGAACTGAAAATAATCTAGGTTCAAGTGAGATTATATTTTCAATGACCTACCTAATAATCGTTGGTAAGTGGCTATATGTCAAGATCTGCATTGATGAACAAAGAAACAGAGTGATATATGAAGATGAGAAGTGAATTACCCCCTTCATCATCTCTTACAATAGCTCCACCATTTGGATTGTCATTGTTACGTGAAATTCCAGCAAGTGTTAGAGCCAATGTATTAGCTAAGCCCATATGACCATCCATCCTTGTTAACCAAACCTGCATGCGAAATACCAAATCTTAAAAAAGACATTGATGTATTTTCTAAAGCAAAAGAATGTAATTTCCTGAAATTGTCTTACTGGATTATGAGGAGTAATACTATCAATCCACGATGCCATTGGTAAATCACCTCCCCAAATATCATCATTCCAACCACCACCCAGTAACCAAGAACCATGTTTCACATCTATTAAAATTTCCAAAGAAAAACATGATAAATTGATACTGATTAGTGTCAATTCAAGACAGCCAATACTTTATAATATTATTCATTCATTTTCTTTAGACAAAATCCTTAATGGACTTCCAGGATTGAGCCTCTTTTTCTTCCAAGTGCATACTTTTCTTTGTCAGCATATTTCACACTTGGTTGACTTATCCCTGACAATAAAAGGAGAGAACCTAAAGGCGTGGTAGTTAACTATTTTCAATAAGTAAAAGTTTGCTCTTCCCAAAAGAGCTAGAGAGGGGGAAGATCATTTCAAAGAAAGAATAACAAATATGCTATTTCCAAAAAATAATAAGAAAGATAATTTGTATCTGATAGGCAAAAGCCAATCTTTAGCATTGCCAAATCATGGCGAGCTGAAAAGGGTATATCGTGTGACATTTGCTCGTTATACATAATCTTTATCCAAAGTCACGACAAATTTTAAACTAAATTGAGCATATAAAAGAATGAGTCAGCTTATGTTTCAGATGCAAATACATAACTTCAATCTATTCAAATTTGGTAACCACTTTTGCATACATATTTCCAGTGTCCCATTCTAAATCACTAACATATACATTTACATATTTTTTGAAACAGGTAACTTTGTATATTACTATAACAGTACATAGGCACTAAGCCATATTTACAATAAGATCATCAAATCCAGCTACAGAACCTAAATTGAGTCTAGTACATCAATTAGGGAGGTAGTGTCATTGGAGTATAATTGATTACACCAAAAACACAGTAGCAACAAGCAATTAATCTTGAATTTTTGCAGATTGTTTTCTATACAATCAAAACATCTGAAATTGATTTTCATTGCAAAACTTCCACAACGATTTCATTCTGGGAGCCTTGCTCTGATTTTTCAAGTTCTTAATACTCAATCCCCCTTGTCTCTTAGCCACAGTTACAACATTCCATTTGACCAAGTTATAACTCCTTTTCCTCATTGTTTCCCTGCCACAAAAACTTTCTTCTAATTTTGTCCAATCTGTCGATGATTGTTCGAGGAATTGGAAACACTGACATCATATAAGTTGGAGGTGCATCAAGGCCAAAATTTATCGAAGTCATTCTCCCACCTCTGGACAGATAATGTGATTCCACCTCGCTAGCTTCATCTCACATTTTTCTACCACCCTGTTCTAGATCTCATAAGACAGATCTATCCCCCAGAGGCATTCCTAAATATGTTGTTGGAAAAACACCTATTTCCCCGCCCAGTATTGTATTTAGATACACAATGTTTTGCACTTCATTGATAGGGTACATATAGCTTTTCCTCCTATTGATGTGCAGACCTGAGAACCCCTCAAAAAGCACAAAAATCACCCTTAAAATCTTGAGTTGGCCTTCCTCAGCATCACATAGAATAAGAGTATCATCTGCACATCACAAATGCGTCACTTATACACTATTATCTCCATTTCTTCCTCAAAACCCCTCAACCATCCCCTCACCTTTGCAGTTTTAATCATGCTATTCAGACCCTTCATAACAATTAAAAAACAGAAAAGGAGATAGAGGGTCTCCCTGTCTGAGTCCCCTCTGTGCACTGAAGAATCCAGCAGGGGATCCATGTATGAGGACTGAAAACCTTATTGTGGACATGCATTGTCTGATCCATTGGGTCCACTTCCTTCCAAAACCTATCCTCTCCAAAGTATTCAACAAGTATTCCCAATTTACATGATCATATGTCTTCTCCCCGTCAAGCTTACACGTGATTCTTCTTTTGCTTCTGTTGAGAGTCCACAATCTCGTTAGCAAATAATACCACATTCATAATTTATCTACCTTTGATGAAAGCCATCTGCTGAGAATCCACAAGTTTGGCCATGACCCCTTTCATTCTCTCTATTAAAACTTTGTCGAACAATTTGTAGATGCTTCCAATCAAGCATTAGGTCTGAAGGTTTTCAATTCTGACACATTTCTTCTTAGGAATCAAGGTTATGAAGGTGGCATTCAAACTCATCTCAAGAACTTCCTGATCATAGAATTTGAAAAGCTTTCATGATATAACATTTCCATGACCAACAGTATGTTTGTTGGTTTGTCTGATCCATCAACTTGTAGGCTGAGTTAACTTCGAATTCCCCTCTGCTATTTCCCTTCCACTGCATTACATCTTCCCCTGTTTGTAGCCCATTAAAAGCTTCCACAGTATTGAGAAATTCTGCCGCTTTTGCTATTTCCAAGTCATTAAAATGACTTTTGAAATTGAAGCTCCACCCCTGATTTATCCATAACTCTACTATACTATTGTGTTGTCCCAGAACTATATTGTATATGTCAGGGAAAAGTAATTCCAAGTAACCCTTTTCATGCCACTCATCCTTCGAAATCATGTCTTGCTTCCATCCACAAATTTGATCCTTGCATTACTCTTAATTTCATCCCACATGTCTATTATTGATCTCCACAAACTCACTCCATAAGGTGTAGTCACTTCTTTGGTCATTTACATATCTTCACCTTCAGATTTTGCACTTATTACCCTTTCCCATAGCATCTGGTTTTCATTGGCAAACTTCCACAACCATTTCATTCTGAGAGCTTTACTCTGCACCTTCAAGTTCTTTATCCCCATACGCCTACCTTCTTGCCAGTTATCACTACTTTCAACTTCACCAAATTGAAGCATTTCCTCGCCTTGTTGTCATGCCATAGGTATTTTCTCTTGATATTATCCAATCTCTTGATGACTTTTGTTGGTGTTGGGAACAAGGTCATCATTTAAGTTGGGCAAGGAACCTAAGACTAAATTGATGAGAGTCCGTCTGCCTCCGAAGGACATATATTGAGTTTTCCATCAAGCCAATTTCTTTTCACACTTCTACAGCACACCATTCCATATATCAACAGAGTTGGATTTTTCATCAAAAAAGGCATGCACAAGTAAGTTGTTGGCGGAGTACCAATTGCCCCACTAAGGATTACTGCTAGGCAGTTCATATTTGTGACTTCATTGAATGGATACACAAAGCTCTTCCTCCGGTTGATATGTAATCCTGACATCCCTTCCAACAGAATCACTATAACACTCAGATATTTCAACTGTTGTTACACAGCATCACAAAAAATTAGGGTATCATCTACATATTGGTGTGTCACCTCCAAACTGTTACCACCCTCTGGCAACATCAAAACCTTTCAACCAAGCTCTATTATTTGCTGTTCTAATCATACTATTCAGCCCCTCCATAATGATTAAAAACAGAAAAGGTGACAAAGGGTCACCTTGCCGGAGACCTCTCTGAGTATTGAAAAATCCTATAGAGGCTCCATTAGTAAGCACGGAAAATTTGACAGTTGAAATATAATACTTTACCCGTCTCAGTCTTTTTTTTCGAAGCCCATTCTATCCAGAATCTTCAATAAATACCTCCAGTTGACATAATCATATGCTTTCTCTAAGTCCAACTTGCATAGTATATCAGGCTTCTTCTGTTTGATTCTGGAATCTACAACTCCATAAGCAATCAACACAACATCCATGATCTGTCTACCTTTAATAAATGCGGTCTGTTGGGAATCAACCAATTTTCCAATCATTAACATCAGCCTCTCAGTCAGTACTTTGGAGAGTAGTTTATAGATGCTACCTATCAGGCTTATAGGTCTGAAGTGCCTTAGTTCATTTGCTCATTTCTTCTTTAGTATGAGTGCAATGAATGTTGCATGAAAGTTTTTCTCAAAAACTTCTTCATTCCCCTTGTAGCCCCATTTCCTCCCAGACAGATCTTTTTTCTATAAAATAGTTAGGGGCATACACCCCCGTGATATGGCAAGAGCAGTTATAAAATTGAGACTCAAAACAGATCAAAAAGTATATACCAGTTTCCAAAATGTCGCCTTCCCAGGCCCTACTATCCCATAGCATTGAAATTCCCCCTTTAGTTCCACTAGCCTCCAAGCTTGCATATTTGATCCATCTAACTCCCAAAAATTTTTTTATGAGAAGGGAAACCCCAGCCTTCCCTGTGGGTGCGCATAGGGTAAAGCCCCTACTCCTATGCAATAGCTCGCAAATCACATGGGAGAGCTAACCTGCACTAGGCAAGCCCGGTGCAACGAGCTCAACTCAGAAGGAAAACCCCTTGCTTTCGCTGGCAAATTTTTCTAACCTTTTCTTCCATATTTCTCTCTAGTTTGGTTTCTTGCAAACAAATGATATCCGCATTCCACCCCTCCATAACACTCTTACAAATCTTCTTTTGTCCTATCATTCAGTCCCTTTTGCATTCCATGTCACTAACTTGAATTTCATAAATCACATAGTCATATTTCTCCCGTTACTCATATTCCCACTATCTTTGAACTTGACATTGAAATTCACTAGGCTTTTCAACTGTTGGCAGCCTCGATATTTTGTTTTCTTGCACAGTGTTTCTGCTTCTATTCTTCTTGCTTGTCTCGCACTGTCCACTTGTAATAGCAGTTCAAGGGCCTCTTCTTCATGACCTGGAAATCAGTCCCAAAAGCTTCCCCAATTTGATTAAGTTTTGTTGTTACCATACTAATGTCTCCTTTTCTTTATTTCTGACCACTTCATGTTGCCAAGTCTATAGTGGTTCTGTTTCTTCTATCTCCCACTCCGCTACTTCGGTGATCGATCTTTGTCTCCTATTTTTTGAAGTTCTGATGTCCTCCAATTCTGTATCCATCATGCTCATATCATTCTCTTCTATCAAGTGATGCAGTTATTCGATTATTGTTTCTCCCACTACGTTTGTCATCTCCCTCTCCTCGTGAATAATCTGATTGGCCCTCTACATGTGTGTATTTTCTGTTTCTCGACAGTGTTGAGGTTCAAGAGAATCAAGTGATATATTACAACTTTCATCTTCTGCCCTAAAGTGTCATTGAAAATCACTTGGCTTGAGTAATCAGGCCCAAGTTTTCTGACAACTCTTTTCTTTGTATGGGGCTGCTGATGGAGGCCCAATTTTTCCCCTTATTTAAATGACGCATGTACCTCTCACATGCTTCCCCCTTCTTTCTTCATTGCCAGCTGAGCGCCAGGGTCCACCCACATGTTCTCCATCTGGGAAATCCCTTAAAATAAGGGATTGAGTACCTTTTTTGTAGGATTTGCAGCCAATGGACCTTTGAATGAAAGTTTTTTCTCCAACTAATCTAGGATCACCTTTCCCAACTTCCGGCGACACTCAACTCTCACGTGACTCTCTGCCCATATCGGGAAATGGTAAATGACCCCATACCTGGAGATAGAGACTTCTCTGAGTATGTTTCTTCCATCATTTTCTACTAAGATTCTCGCCCACGTCATATGATTCTTCAGTTTTGTCTCTTCCACTATAGCTACCTATCCTCCACAAAGGTTTCCAATTTCTTGGAAAACTTGGCTTGACCAAAGATGGAGAGGGATACCAACGATTCTTACGCATGATTTCTTTGTCAGGATGTTGTTGTGGGTGCATCCTACAAACAGAAACCACCATTCCGGGTTAAACATTTGGTTCTTCCAATTCCACTAACCTTCTAAGGTTCCTGTTGGGGAATTCAAAGAGAAATTTTCCCCCATACATCTCATAAATGTTTACACCAAAAAACCTTTTTCCATTTAAGGATGACCATCATCTGACCACTGACAGTGTAGGTTTCTCCTTCTTTCCCGCTATCAGATGTCCCACTAGACATCTCTTCAATAGCCCATTCTCATGACTTTCTCTAAGATATACTTCAATGTTTTCCTCCGAGCTATTTCTCTCTGCCAATCTGATGGATTTTGACAGCCATTTACTATCCTTGACAGCTCTATAGGGGTAGGAAGCTTCAGCAACTCTTGGTGGACCTGCCTTTTCCAAATTTGGGGCATTTAACGTAGCTTTCAATTTTGATAGCTATGCTGTACCACCCTGCATTCGTGGCAAGCTTAGGCATAATAAGGACAGATACCATACCCCCCCACCCACCCCCCAGCGCGGTTATTAGTGGATGTGATACTCACAAATCTCCCATGTTCATTGTATTTTTTAATGCAATAGTGTTCCGCCTCTCTTTCTGCAGTTCTCCATTATTTAATCGACTTTCTCTTATCATTAGATGCTTCCCTGAGGGTGAAGCAGATCCATTACATGATTTTTTTCTGCTCCTTTCAGCCCATTCATATCACACTGTTCCCTTCAGATCTCCATCTAGTAATATCATATGATTTGAAGCCACCATAAAAATAAATCCTATTTTCCCCCATAGATAAGGACCAAAAATTAACGGACTAAATTTGAGAAATAAACTATCACATAGGTAATAGTTCAAGGAAGAAGTCAAGAAGGACTGAAATCGAATTCCGGCCAAAGAACACCGGAAAGAGGAAACCCCTCCCCCAGGAAGTAGGGAAGAGAGTTATCTCAGGAAAAGTGACTAAGAGCATTCTTGTCTCCTCACATAACAAACTATCTTGAAAGCAGTTATAACTAACATATACATCTATATAGCATTTTGCCAGCTATACCTAATATTTAAAGCCCCCCTCTTCAAAAACAGAGTCCAGAAGCGATCAAACATATGCTTTAGTGCCTTTGATGCCTGAACTTGAGCACTGTGTGAGCAAAGTGAAGGGCCAACCCTGCACTACACCAAGCTTCAGGTCTTAAATGCTCGTCAATTGATCTTTCAACAACAGTGTTATTGGGTAAACTACATTGAATCATACAGATACAAATCAAAGTATATATTCCAGTTCCTCAATAATTATTGTCAAAATTAGCCCCTTTCAAACTTGTAATTAATGGGAAAATAATTGAAAATGTCTGCTACCAAGGAGGAATATACAATATTTTATCTAGTGACAAGAAAGGGGTTGAACTGGTATCATCAAGGTAAAGATGGAAAGTGTCAAAGTGATAAAGATTGTAGTTTTATGAGCAGCTTAACAACCACAAACTTACTTGCAACTGCTTTTCTAATTTTGTCTACAAAAAGATCTTTTGTATTTACTCCACGAAGGTCCACTAGTGCCATCTGCCAACATTAATAACAGGTCAGGACAAATACAATATTATGCCTTAATTTGTAGAGCAACTACCATAACAAATTAATAGCATTTGACTGATGGAGTGTTTCAGTAACTATTCGTACATGTATACGTGGTCTAAGTGTGAATAGAGTTCAAAAGCTAAAATTTTGAGAGTCTGATCATTTGTAACAACTCTTCTGTTGATCAGTACTAGAAAGCATAGACATAGGATGTGCAACAAGTTTCCATCTTGCCTTGTTTGAATGTTGTGAAAGTAGAGAAATAAAAGATATTTAAAGGATCCACTGTCCCCATGCACAAACTAAAATCAGAATGTGTCATGCTTCTCTCTTCTTTTTCCTTTTTTGGCATAAAGAGCAATGAGCGAAAGTGGTCAAGATTGGTGAAGTTCGTGCATTCTTTCAGTCCATGGCTCTTTTTTCATTTCGCAAATATATTTCTAGATCCTTTTGTCGTCTTGGACTTGGCCTTTTTGTTGTATCGTCCATGAATCTCAAGTCTATTTAGGCTATTCAGATGTTATAGGTCAAAGACGGGTGAATTCTGCATTGGACTCCTATTACTTTGTCAATTTTGTTGATGATCATATTATTCGAGTGCACATGGATATTCTTGATGAAAAATCGATCCAAGTTGTCTATTTTTTACAGTTTTTATGATGAAATCCAAAATCAATTTGAGATTTGTATACCGCTCTTTTCGTGATGATAATGCAATATAATATTTATCTTCTCCAGAGAAATTCATGAACTCACATAGGATCTGTTAGAATATTAATGTATATCGTGTCCCACTTAAAATAGGATTATTATGTATTATGTAAAATATAACTATAAATAGAGCTCAGTGTAATAATGTAAATACAATTTTTTATAATGTTTTCCGTGTCTTTACTTCTCACATGGTATCAGAACATTGTGAGAAATATCTGGGAAAGAAAAGACAGCCACACAATCAATGTGCTTCAATTTTCAGAAAACTCTATAGGATGATGTATCATTCGAATGTTGTGCGAAAACATCACAAGAGGTCCCCCACCTGCCAATGAAAAACCCAGTCAACCACTAAGAAAGAGGACCGCCCACACACACTCACGTGCCACCAAAAGCTGCAGCGCCGGCGACACATCAAATCAATGGGCTGTCGCGTAAGGTCATCTCCAACCACCTTCCAAAGCAGATCTTGTTCCCTAAAGGTTATGTAGTAGTTCCACGCAAGAATATGCAGTTTATGTCAATTCTCGATCGCAGGAATCGTAATCTGTCAACTCCAGTAACCATCTTCGGCCACATTCATGTTTTCCAGATCTCTCCAGCCACTCGCCTGAGCCTTTAGATCTCTCTTCACTACTTTAAGATTATTTCCCGGTGACTTTCCTGCCAACTTCTATCAACCAGCAAGTTTCCAGTCCCTTTCTTTGTGATTATTTGATTAGAACTCTCAATCCAACTATGTCTTTCGAATTTGATGCGCTCGGTTTGAAAAAATAGGAGTTGGAAATTCTAGTCCTATGATTAATTTAGATGCCTTGATTATGAGTTCAAACTAATTAGTTTGGACTTCCTCAGTTGAGTTATGGTGCAAAGTGTTCAAGGTCACTTGATCAAAAGGCTAGTGATGGAGATGAAAAGACACGAGAACCATGGGAGAAGGGTGATGCTCAACTCTTGATTTCAACTGATGAAATCTCGTTTTTTTTAATGTGAGATCCCAGATAACAAAATCAAAGAAACATGAATTGGATATGCCTACTTACTTGAGACAGGTGTAGGCAATCATGGAAGAATTTGATAAGTTGATGTCAGTAACTCTAGTATCAAAAAACAACAGGAGCAACAATAGACAATATGTCTAGTTCATTCACTGACTGCCTAATGACCTTGATTCGGTGCATGACCAAATTTTGGCTAGTCCTACCATTCCTATAGTCGATGAACTATTCTCTCTATTTCTTCGCCTTGTTGTGCCACCCCCCAGTCAAGAAGTGGTTTTCTCACCAACCACTTACTTCTCTATTCTCACGTCTCAGACAATAAAAATCAGACGTCCCAGTCTATGGAGTATTTATGAAGAGGAAGTCATTTTGGACGAACTCGATCCAAGTATATTTATTGTAATGGGATTGGCATACTAGTGAAATATGTTATTCTCAGCCTGGTCGATCACTTAAGAATGTTCATGTTGCTCAGACTAAGACTGCAGTTAATCATGGGTTTACTTTATCTAGAGGGGAATATAATGAATGCCTTTAGTATCAAGTAAGTAAACAGACATCTCTACAAGTAGCCTCGGGTGCTCAACCTAATTCTTCTATCGTTCATAATTATTTTTCTTGTGTTTCACTGTCTAATACCCTTGCACCATGGATCATGGACTCAGATGCTTCTAATCATATTTATTTGTAATAAATCACTTTGGTCAAATATTATTCATTCATGGTCTCTTCCCGATGTTACTTTAGCCAAGACATTCCAAACAAAAGCACAAAGAGTTGGGCAAAATAATCTCTTATCCTCTGTTATGCCCCTGATTCTTTTGTCAATCATTGACTCACGCTCTAAGTTGTGACATAATATTTCTTAATGATTCTTTGTTATGTAGGACCATAGTACGAGACAGAAAATTGGTGCAAGGCATAATCACAATGCCTTTACTGCCTTACCTCTCCTAATTCCTTTGCAGCAAATTCAGTTACAGATGCTCCAGACTTAACTCATCGAGGTTTGGGACATCCGATTTTATTCAAGCTACAAAGATTGTCTAGTTTGTCTAGTCTGTCCACATTAGACTGTGAGATGTGTCCACTTCGGAAACACACCCGCGGGCCGCACTACTTTCTCACATAGTTCTGAGATCCATGCAAAGTCTATTTTCCATTAGTTCATTCGAATATTTGGGGTCCTAGTAAAGTCCATTGAACTTTAGGATTTCATTATTTGTTTGTTTCATTGATGATTATTCAAGATGTACTTGGATTATCTTAGTGATTTTTTTTTTGGACTTGTTTTCTATATTCCTGAGTTTTTGTGCTGAAATACAAGATCAATTTAGTGTTTATTCATATATTCATACTTTTCATAGTAATAGTGTCTTAGAATACTTATCCTCCCAATTTTAGCCATTTATGACTTGCCAAGGAATGATTCATCAGATATGCACACAACAACGACAACAAAGCCAATGTTCCCACAAGTGGGAACTGGGGAAGGTAGGATCTAGACCTTATCTATTGACACTCCGATGGATTTGAATGCTATACTCTTGCCAGGGCAGTGGAAGCCACTTTGTGATCCTGGAAGATAAAGGTGATTAAATGGTAAGTTGAATGATCGAACAGCAATTGAACTTGATATTTCTTTTTTGTGTCATAAGTCACATTTTGGATTCTCCCTGTGATATTCATTTGGATGCAATTGTCCGCATTCTGCGATATAAAATCATCTCAAGGCATCGAGGCTATGAGCAGATCATTGTATACATAGATGTTGCGGGATCACCTTTTGGTAGATGTTCTACGTCTGAATATTGTGTTTTAGTAAGAGGTAATTTGGTGTCTTTATTTTTTACAAAGTTAACAAAAGAGGTAATTTGGTGTCTTGAAAGAGTAAGAACAAAATGTGGTTGCTCAATCTAGTGCAGAAACAGAATATCGGATAATGGTCGTAGCAACTAATGACCTACTAGTTCTCGACACGTGCTTTGCACGTGAATATTACGAATATATATATATATATATATATATATATATATATCATTATTACTTTCCCTAACATCACTATCATGTATTTATTTAAAGTACTTCTATTTAAACAAAAGCATATTTTGCATAAACTATTCAAATATTATCAAACTCGTGTATTAATAGAAATTTTGTAATTAAATAACACTTTAAAAAAATAACACGAAAATAAGGAATTTTTCTTTTCATCAATGCAAAATAATACATAATTACATATAAATATGGGTTGCATACCAATCCATTTTGCACAACCATACCGTAACTCCAAAATGAAAAAGAAAAACATAAAATCATAATCCATAAGAAAAATCTAAAGAAATATATAAGTCATATCTTGTAATGTTAATTAACAGTTGAACTATATTCTAAGAAAGTTTCTCTTCTAATTTCAGAATGAAGTTATTTGTTCTTCTCCTCAGTTAGCTTCTTAACAACTTGTATTCATATCATAAATCTAAGAAGAACAAAAGAGAATAGTAGATGATAGAAAAGAAAATAATGTGATGACCTAGGAAACAATTAACATGTATTTATAGTGATATTTGATTGTCTTTTCATCTACCAAAAATTTTTAATGGTGCATAATGAATCATGATAGATAAATTTATTTTAGTTTCAAAATTCAAAGAATCACAGAATTTGAAGAGTTTCATACATTATTGTTTCATGATAGATAAATTTATGTTAATTTCAAAATTCAAAGAATCACAAAATTCGAAGAGGTACATACATTATTGTTTTCTACTCTAATTTAATTCAACCTAATTAATTATGATTTTAATGTCATAACTAAAACATTAAAGTGTAGTTGTTGGACTTCATATTATATCATTATGTAATTAAATATTAGTATTTAAAAAATAAATCAATTTATTTTAATTTGGTGGAGGGGCAAAATGGTAATTCAACTTTTAAAGTTAGAGCTTCCCACTTACAATAGTATATGATGATATGATTTAGATCAAACAGATACTCAAAGATCTCATATTTGGAGAAATCAATCAGATGAAACTTGTATAAGATAATCAAATGGCTCTTCACATTAAGTCAATTCGGTTTTTCATGAGAGGACCAACTGACCGAGCACATTAAGATTGACTGTCACTTTACTAAATAAGATACTCTCAAGAAATATTAACTTTAACTAAATCAAAAAAAAAACTTTCAAGAGATATTATAACCAAAATTTTGAAGTCAAATGAGCAACTTGTAGATATTTTCACCATATTCCTCATTGGTACTCGTATTAGTTGCATCAATAACAAGCTTGGTACATATGACTTATATGCACCAGCTTGAGGGGGCGCTAGAATATAAATGTATAATGTGTCCCACTTGGAAAAAGATCATCATGTACTGTGTAGAATATAACTATAAATAGGGTTCAACGTAATAATAAAGATGTGAATCTTAATAACATTTCCTAAGTCCATACTTCTCACAGGATCATTCATCAAGCATCATATCCTTACACCTCAACAAAGTAGGATAGTAAAGATGTTCTCATCATCATTCTAAGGAAAATTCATTCTCAACTGGTCAATCCTTTACTCTACCATGACAGAGATAGGAAACAAAGACACAATACATGGGAAATGAATCTGCAGCCAAACTTTGTCAAGAACCTAGAAAAATGATTAAGCTTGACTAAAAACACAGATATGAGATGGTAGGACAGATGCAAACCAGTAGTCCCCCAGGGATGAAGTGCACATGGGAATCAATAAATCCAGGGACCACAATCTTTCCGTCTAGATTTAGTTCCTTGGTCCAACTTGTTGCCAATTCCTGCATTTACATGTAAATTGAACATAAGCTCTAAATAGAGTGTATGCTTCATCTACTACTTGAATCTTCATATTGTGTTTCTTTAGCATTTGAGAAAAGCTGATGGGATAAATGAATTAGAAATCAAATGTGCACCATGAAACCAAAAATAATCCCACATTAGCTCTAAGATAGCAAAGACATTCATATCCTAATTGTACACAAGTACTAAAAGTGGGAGAAACACCAGCAGATATATATAATTGGGTCTCATTAATGTGATCTCATGAAGGCATCAACATATACCCAGAGGAAAGTTCATGAAATCAGTCGGTTGAGAAGGGCAATAGACATGATCAAATAGCAATCGCTTTATCTTCAGAACCAATAGTGAAAATGGAACTACATGCAAGCTGCAATCTAATGAACCTCAAAGATTGCTTAGGGCTTGAATTAGATGCAAAACTTGCATCTACTCCAAGGACACTAGACAAGGGTGTGGCTTAGAGGTCAATGAAGTGGGTTGAGAACCATGAGGTCTCAAGTTCAAATTTCATTAGAGACAAAACACTATGTGATTTATTCTCATTTGTCCTTCCTAACTGGCAGGTGTTGCTAGTGGGAGGTGGCAAGTATCCCGTGAATCAGTCAAGTTGTGTGTTGGCTAGCTGACACCACGTTTATAAAAAGTACTTGAATAGTAGTACTTCTTTTTTGCAATTTTTACCCATCCAAACCTTGAATCGAGGGTCTTTCGGGTCTCTCAACCTCCATGAGATAGTGGTAAGGTTTGTGTACATGCTACCCTCTCCAGACCCCACTTGTGGGATTTCACTGTATATGTTGTGGTTGCCCATCCAAACCTTGAGCCGAGAGTCTTTCGAAATCAGTCTCTCCACCTCCATGAGGTAGTGGTAAGGTATGTGTACATTCCACCCTCCCCAAACCCCACTTGTGGGATTTCAATGTGTATGTTGTTATTGCGCATCCAAACCTTCTTACTTATCCTAAAAAGCCACGCCATTTCACCTTACATATAATATTCCTTTGTTTTACTGAATTTTAAGCACTTGCTAGCAACAAAAGGCTATCTGTTTTGCAATATGCTAATGACACACTCATCTTTTGTGGGGCAGAAGAAGAACAACTCAAATATCTAAGAGTAATATTGGTCCTGTTTGAAGGAAGGAATCTCTGGGTTGCATATTAATTGGAGAAAGAGTTCTCTTTATCCCATTAATGAAGTACATAACATAGAGACACTAAACATAATCCTAGGTGGACAAGTTGGGGCTCTCCCAACTACATACCTTGGGATGCCTTTGGGTGCTAAATCAATGTCTAAAGAGATCTGGAGCAATGTAATAGAAAAGTGTGAGAAGAAACTGGCTAGATGGAAGGGGCAATACTTGTCTCTTAGAGGAATCAGAAGGAAGTTCCTAAGGCATGGAAACAAGGATAGGAAAGGTTACAATCTGGTAAAGTGGAATGATCTGATCATAGAAAAAAGATACGAGGGTTTGGGTATTAAAAATCTGTAGAATCATAGCAAGGCCCTCACAATGAAATGGTTGTGGAAATATGCCTAACGACAAACATCCGTTATGGAGAAAAGTCATCAAAGCCAAGTATGTGGAAGAAAATAGGTGGATGACAAAGGAAGTAATTTCCCCATATAATCTGTGGAGATCTATAAGGGCCTTGTGGGATGATTTCAAGATCAAAACCAAGGTTAAGGTTAGAGATGGGGAAAAGACAAGCTTCTGGGGAGATGAATGGCATGACATGGGATTTTGAGGAATGTCTAGACTTAATGTATAATCAGCAAAGAACAATTGCAAGAATGTGAACACCTGATCGGTGGGAAATCAGTTTCAGAAGACAAGTGTTTGACTGGGAAATCACAAGAGTTGCAGATTTCCTTAACACTATTGACCAGTTTAAAGGAACACAAGAAGGGAAAGATGAGCTTTGGTGGCAGGGCAGTAACAAATGAACCTTCAGGGTAGGCAAAGCATACAGATGGTTGAATAATCACAATCAACAGAATGTCAACTGGCCCTGGAAACTATGTGGAAAGTGTATACCCTATAAGTTATCATGTTTTATTTGGCTCCTATCTAAGGAAGTTGTTCTTACACAAAACAATCTGATGAAAAGGGGGGATAATTTTCTGTCTGAGATGTGTTTCTTGCGGAGAACAAGTAGAAATTGTTCGACATTTGTTCCTTCACTGCAAGATCACATGTCAGCTTTGGAGGCTATTCATAAACCTTAGAGGCTTCTCCTAGACTATGCCAAGAACGGCTACAGAGGCCCTTCAAAGCTGGGAAGAAGCTGTGGTTCTGACAAGAAGCAGATTTAGGTGGAGAAGTATACCAGCCAGCATATGGTGGACAATCTGGAAGGATAGAAATGCTAGTTATTTTGTATCTATTATTGATGTGTTAGATTCAGTATAGACATGGGACCATAGGATCTAGATTTACTTAAAAATATGGCCCTAGTACAGTCCATGTACTGATATGTTTCTATCAATAGACACAAAGTTACCATTTTAAAAAGAAGTGTTCTATTGCTATTTATTTGAAACTATTACTGTAGCACCAAAACAATATACCCATTGTAATCCCACAAGTGAGATTTCGGGGAGGATAAGATGTATCTGAACTTATTACTCTGTCCATCACAAAATGCTCCTCCTACTTTCCCTGCTGAAATGTCCAAAATATGTATGTTGATCCTTAAGGCAAAGTTGTACTACTTTTTCAACACACGAAAATATTCTAAGGACTCGCTTTTAATCTCGTCCCTCCTCAATACAATTGTATCTTTTATACTGTACCTATACTATAGATGTCAACTATCACAATGGAATATTCAATTTTATAGGATATGGATTTTTCAAATTTGGGCTCAATAGGTGATTCGTTTATATTAGTGTATTACAAGCTTTATCTCTTCACAAACATTCACACACAAAAATTCCAACAAAATTCTTCCCATAAAGAGGTCACTCCCTTTTTCAATTCGTTTGTCTTGCTTTCCTTTTTAATCTAGTTCAAAAAAGAATGATCTTTCCTTTTTCTTACGACTCTTTAACTTCAACTTTCCACCAGGTTTAAAACCACAAGATTATAACATATATTCTACATATTTTTAGGTTAAATCCACAACATTCAAAATTCGTGTCAAGTCGAAACGAGACTGAATAACTCATCCAAACATAAACTCTTAGACTTCACAAAAAGGGGTTTCTCCAGAAAACCTTTAAAATTAACTTTTATGAGAATCTAGTCAATGAAAGCTGGTGATAAAAAAAAGAACCTTTATAGAAGAGTAATTCCCAACTCGAAGAATTCTACCATTGCCAATAGCCATAGAATCAGCAAAAGGGAGAGCTTCATCACTGGTATAAATGGTCCCATTCGTCACCAACAAATCTGCCCCTTCACTTAAAAATGAAGAACTTCTCCAGTTCAGCAAGTCTGCAAAATTAATAAAAGGATCCATTTTGAATAGTTGAAAAAATGAACAAAGAAAAAGTGATAGAAGCATTGATAAGTACATGTCAAGTAATTTCCATTGTTGTTGAGAAGAGGAATTGAAGCTACAGATAGAAGGAGGACAAAAGAAGCAGATACAATAACCCACAAGGCATTCATCTCAACAACAAGAATTTTTTTCGCAAAAGTTGGGATATTCTTCGAAGAATCATTTGCTGGCTGTCTAACTCCTCACATATATTTTTCATTAATTAGATAAAACACGTCTAAACTATTTTATTTTATTTTTGAGTTTGGTGCTAAATTATCTCACTTCATCTTTTTAAAAGAAAATGACATTTTTTTGGTCCTATTTTAGTTTTAGTTCTATACGTACATGTATGAATCCGCTATATTAAAGAGCAATTTTATATATTTGATATAACTTTAATTTAGGATTATAAGATTTAACAGTTATTTTTTTTTTTTTAATTTCGTACAAGTCAAATTAGATCACTCTTTGTAAAACGGAGAAAATACTAACTAGTAAGATTATTCGCGCTTCGTGCGGAAATTTAATGTCACGGAACTAAAAAAAATGATACTTAAAACTTATCATGCATTAAAATTAAAGACATTATACTATCTTACATACAAGATTTTTGAGTAACAATCATTAATAATGTAAAGAAAAATGAAAATTATTATATCTTGTCATTTATCCCTAATAAGATAAGTATAAAATAATGATTGTAAAAATATATAGTAGGATATATAACACATGTAATGGTGTGTGAGTGAGTCACTCAACATGAACAAAGAACACAAAAATTTAATTGTGAAGAAGAAGTTATTTTAAAATGAGACAACAAAGAGTAGTGTAAAAAAAAAATTCTGTTGTGTCTTATCTGAAAAGTTACAATCCTTTGGAAAAGTCACAACATTTCATAAAATGCATAACTTTTCGTTATAATCACAACTCTTCATTGAAATCATAATTTTTCATAAAAGTCATAATTTTTTAGTAAAATTGCAACTTTTTATACAAAAACACAATTTTTCATGAAAGAGAAAGACTAATTTTGAAAATAAATAAATTTTTTTTTATTTATGATGGTACCACATAGGTGGTCTAAGATTCTCTTTTATATAGAGAGAGTGTGTATGTGTTTGAGAAACGTATCTTTTTTATTTAAAAATATGGTTCAAGTTATTTACTATCTCTTAAAGTTATTCACATGATTCACTTAAATATCTTATTTAAGACTTCTACCTATTAAATACCTAAATTATTTAAAATGTGCGTCTATTAAACACAAAACACTTATATGACAAACCAAGTGTATATCTATAATACTAAGCGCGTGAATATCTTCTGATTTTTATTTTTATTTATTTTAAATAAGTTAGTATCTATTTTTTGATAAATAATTGAAAAAATAAAATTAATCCAACATTAATCTCTTTAAAAGAAGAAAACAACCCCACCCACACTCATGTACCATTGATTTTCTTATTCAACCCTCTATTCTAAAGATTTTACTTCTCAGCCTTCTGTTTCTGTTCTTTTTTTTCTCTCTCTCTTCATTTTTTGTCAAGAAAAAACTAAATCTGCTAACTTAATTTGCAAAAATTTGAACAGTGGAGTTAAAAGAACTAATTGATATTTGTCCATCTTTATTTTTTATCACTACAATTAAACAAACATCGCCATTCATTAAACTTATTAAAAATGATATTAAAAATCTAATTTACTTTTGGTTTCTCTTCGTTGAAAATTTAGTTTCAAAATAATTTATGAACGCAATTATTGAAACAGAAATCTCAAGAAGATAGAAAATAATTGGTAATAAGAGAATGAATTTGAGCCAAGGATATTTTATTAAGAAAGATGTCAATCAATTTTCTGGATTATTAAATAAAGGCCAGAAAAAAATTTATTTTTTAAAATTGAGAATTTATATTTATTACTAGATTGGTCCATCTGACATTTGATTTGTGGTTATTTTAAAACAATGTGTGAATTACACGCATAACATTTTTAAAGCAAGTTTTTATTTGATATAATATATAAATATGATTGATAATTTGACTTTAGCGAATAATTATGTCTTTTTAATTTTAAGTGTGTACAAATAGACATTTAAATTTGTATAAAATTGAACAAGTAGACATACATGTCCTACATGACATAATACACGTAGAACGTCATGTATAGTATAAAAATTTCATGTAGGATCAATAAGTCTATTTGTTTAATTTTATACAAATTAAGTGTCTATATGTGCGCATTCAATGTTAAACGTCATTATTGTCAGTTAATGACAAATTACTTAGGGTAATATTTGTGTATTATATCTTTTCATTTTATGTTAATTGTAAAGTATCTAATATGTAATAATCCTTGCTAAGGTGTCTATGTCAATTATTCAAACAACTTCAAGAACCCCAAATGATTTAAACCTAAAAATATTATCACGTTACATTCCACGTAAACAAAATATACAAAAATTAAATAAATTTTTTTTTTATCCCAATGAATCACATTCTCCCCTCCTCCCTCCCTTCCCCTCTCTTTAAATGATAATTTAGATATTCTTTTAATTTTTTGGAAAAAAATATTCCACCCCCTGCCCATAATCATCCCGTCCAAATTTTTTTCTTGGTTTGTGTTATACATTTATTAAAATAGTAATTTTTTTTAACTTGCAGCAAGATTTTCTTAAAAATTAAATTTTTATTCGTACTATATTTAATGCGCAAGTAAAAGAAATATTATTTTAAAAATATATGTATATATTTTAAACAAAACGAAAAAGATATTTGTTTCAAAAATAATAATAGGAGCACGTGATTAGATGGGATGGAGAAGCATTTTAATTTTTTTTTTAAAATAAAAGTAATATTAAATCTTATCAGGACGGAGTGGGGGAGGGGTTGAGGTCTGAATTTCTTTAAAATATTCTTTTAACAGAAAATTTAAAAAAAAAAAAGAAAAGAAAAGATGGGCAGTTCAATGGGGTGAGGATAAATGGTGGGGTGAGTGAGAAAATTATTTTAAATTATTTTTTTTAATAATTTCTTTTTTTAGTATATTTACTTAAATTTTTATCTTTTAAAATTAATACTAATATTTATTTAATTTTATCAAAGAAAAATATTTTATCCATATGAAATATCACGTGATAATATTTTTGCTAATAAAAGAGACAGCGTATCATACACATCACTGAGAAGTGTTTTTCAAATTACCAAGTGATAGTATAGCTATGAAACTCATACTTCCAATAGTTTAGATATAAAACTCAAAAAAAAAAAAATAGGTGCATTTTTGACAAAAAGAAACAAAACATGTAAAATGTAAATATGAATAATAAAATTTATACCTAATAATAATAAATAAATAAATAAATAAAGACGAAAAATTATAAATTTAACAAAATTAGTTGGTGTTAGTATTTAGTAATAGCGGTGGTGATAGTCGGTATTGTAGTGCAATTGGTTGTGATTTTAATGATAAAATTGATTGATGTGAGAGTTAATTATATTGATGACAAAATTGATTGATGTAGGAGTTGGTGGTATCGTTGATGGTAGCTGCAAAATGTGAGATGATTGACAACGCGTTGATGGTGTTATTTATGATGGTAAAGGTGATTGATATAGTAAGTATTGGTGTTTATGCATTTTAATATCAAAATAAAAATATAAAATGCATATGTTAGTGGGTATAAGTTGACAAAAATGTGAATAATTTAGGTGATACTAGTCTTGTAACCACTATTCTCATGATTTTTTATACCTTGTAAAAATATAACCTTTTAGCTATTTATTTATGAAAAATGCACAAGTACCCTTCTAGATTATAACAGAAATTTTAGAGACATACCTTAACTAAACTAAAGTCCTATTACCCCTTGAACTTATTTTTTTTGTAATTTTGTGCACCTTTTTGGCTACGTCATTCAAATACCTTCCACCCGCCTCAATTGCATAGAGTCACGTGGTGTGTCACATAAGATAAAAGGAGCACAAATTACAAAAAAATTAAGTTCAGCGGGGTAATTGGACCTTAGTATAGTTAAGGTGTGTCTCTGAAATTTCAGTTATGGTCTAAGGGGATACTTGTGCATTTTCCCATTTATTTACTCAATTTACCACCCATTATTTTTCTATTCATTATAAGGAAAAATTTCTCACTTATAAATAATGTTGTCTTACTTTGTATTAGAAGGAAGAGAAATAATGTAAGAAAATATGAGAAATTTATATTGAGGTTAGTCATGTAGTGAAAAAGAGAATTGAGATGAAGAAAAATATTCTAAGTCGGCAACTATATTCACTATACAAAAGAGTATATTTTTATATGTTGAAGGAAATTGTTCTTATATGGAGTTTAGACTCTTCAACTAACGGAGTTGCTTTAGTTATACGACGTTGTTGGACTGTTGTATCCTGGAGGAGACAAGTTAAAAGTGACATTGTTGGATCAATAGATTATGCCGCAGTGGACTTGAATGTCCTTAAAGAAAGCAAGATTATCCACGTCTCAACCTAAAAAATTTAATTCATTTTTGTGAATTTATTTCAATCGTAATCCATTGTATTCGTGATACATTTACACCAACAGTAATAAATAAGGATTGATCGATGGCAATAGTGAAAACGGAAGGGGTGGTAACAGTGTTAGTAATAGTGGAAGTTGATATAATTATAATGATGCAGGTGGTAAATGTGATGATATCTAATAACAATGGTTAAAAGAGATGGTGAAATTAATGCACGCAAAAATACTTCTTACACTATGTTTGGATCATTGTTAAATTTCGTTGTTACGTAACAATGAAAATCCATATTTATGAAACAACTAATTTGGTGTGTTTGCATTGTCACTTAATTTCTTTTTCCAATTATATCTTTACATAATATTTTAAAATACTATTTTGTCCTTTACCTTAATAATTTACACCTAGTCAAACCTCCTACCCTAGAATAATTAAGAATATTTAAGTAAATTTTTAAATTACAATACAGTACGATACAATCAAACCAAACAATTAAAATATTACTAAACAACAACAAACAATACAATCTAACCAAATATTGTATCTTCCATATAATACAATATAATAAAGTACAGTACAGTACAATACATTATGATACAATGGATAACAATAATCCAAACAAAGTGTTAATGATATATTTGTTCAAGATCTTTATGATCAAGACATATTCAATAAATGTTATATCTTAAAGTAAATGCTACATTTAGTGGCCTAGAATATGAAT